ATTTGATATGCCAGCGTATAAATGGCTAGTGGCTTACTCTCGCTTTGTTCGGTTCCGCCTCTAGGTGCTTTTTGCATAAATTATAATATTACCACACTCATCTCCCTTGAACTTCATTATAAAATATCCCTTTTTACTTTATACAGGTACAAGTGGTACCCTCGCTTAGATTCGGGTTCTTCCCTAGACAAAAACAAAACTATCCCACGGGAACCGTACATTTTTCCAGGATGGTATGGTAGTTTATATATAGCCTTCCTCAATAAACGGGCTATCTAATGCGAAAAGAAAATAGTTCCTGAGATTAGCACATTCAAACAAACAAACTCTGCCTCCTTATAATATTAGTAATATATAATTATATACCCGAATATACAAGTCATCTTTGTCTATAAGAGCAAAAACGCAGGACTTTTATATGCACTTCATTTCTCAGCCTTCAAGTATTATTTTTGCGACGAAAATTAGCCTATGTCCTTCTCCAAGGTCCCATCTATCTCTATATCATTGGTTTATGTGTGAAAATGTAACAGACGGACAGACAAAGTTATTTTTGCATTTATAGTATTAGTTATATTATTTTATAATATGTCCAATATCAACATATAAAAATCTTATTTAGATACGTATACAACAATTTCGTTCGAACGTAATTAAAAGAACTGAATACTCTCTAGCTACTTAATGTCCTTAAAAACATGTAGACTTTTTTTTAATCTATACATATAACTAGCGACTCACCCTCGCTCCGCTCGGGTTCATCCCTGGGGTGGGGTCTGGGAGGGCCACCCTTATCCTTATCACTTAGGGGTATGGAAAATAGATAGTAGCCGATTCTCAGACCTACTGAATACGCATATAAAATTTGGTAAAAATCGGTAAAGCCGTTTCGGAGGAGTACGGTAACAAACATTGTGACATGGAAATTTTATATATAAGATATAATTGTAACTTAGCCGAATCTGTACATTAAATATTTAATAGAAAATCTCATTGAAATAGACATTATTGTAGATATAGAGACCGAATCTATAGTTTTTAGAATTTTTGTCTGCCTGTCTGTCTGTCTGTTACCACATCACAGAAAAACTACTGGAGGGATTTTCATGAAATTTGGTATGGTGATAGCTGCATTGCGGGAAAATATCTCATTTCTGAGAAATCTATACTAAACGTTAAAACGTAAGTAGGGACGAACCCGAGAGGAGCGACGGTGAGTCGCTAGTTGTTATATAAATGACTGTAAATATTTATCATTATCATAGACATTTTCCTACGAATCCTTGTATTGAACAATAGTATTAATTCAAACAACTTATAACATAAAGCTTACATTAAATCTGTAACACTATCGTGACGCCACTACACGCACTCCATAGATTACCCTTATCTGTGTTTTAAGTGCCCTTGTAATGTATTCAGGTGCTTTTACAGTTTGATTTTAGCTTGGGATTAGATAAAGCTATACTTGTTATGTTACTGATGAAAAAATAAAAAAAAACATTTATGTTGTTAACTTTTGAGACAATTTATATATTTAAAAAAGCAACGTACTTATGTATACATATAATAAAATTGTAACTAAGTGACTGAACATTAAATATTTTTTGGAAAATCTTATTGAAATAGACATTATTATCGATACAGAGTCCGAATCTATAGTTTTTAGATTTTTTGTCTGTCTGTCTGTCTGTTACCGCATCACGAGAAAACCACTGGACAGATTTTGATGAAATTTGGTATGATGGTAGCTGGTTATCCGGGTTAACATATAGGATACTTTTTACCGCGGAAAAATATCTCATTTCTGAGAAAATATACAAAGATTGCATTTTAACAGTATACCAATATGTAAAACCTAAGAATTTGGTTTTTGGTCATCTGAACGCGGGCGCAGCCGCGGGCAATGCTAGTATACATATAAGACAGTCGCATTAAGCTTAATAGAAGCCTTTAGTTTCATAATATTCCATTACATAATACAAAACCACTTATATAGAAATTTTATGCACTACCAATAACTTTATTGTGTAAAACTTTTATGAAAGTTGGTGTAGGCGCATTGTATTGCTATAGCGAACAAATCAATAACCATAAACTTTTCCGAAGTAAGAAGTATTCATCTAAGCATATTATATTATATACTCGTAATATGTATTAATTTATATTAAATATTCAAATAATTCTAAGAATGTGAACGTCGCTTCTATGGCAGAAAATAAATTATCAACAGGGTAGAATTATGTCGAGAGGTAATTTCCAAACCCTACTTGTCCTCGAATGTTTCTAATGACGCTATTAATTTCTTAGCTATCATTGGCGATCAGAAGAACAATTCTAATAAACGCACTACTCCAGTCAATACTATTTCTAATACCATTCCGAATCGAGGTCTTATTGTGGTTTCCATTTATATTATAAAGTAAAAAAATATTTTTTCTAAGATATCGCCTAAGTAGTTCGTTCAAATAAATAAATTGCTTAAACAAGTATATCTCATTAATTATAAACATAGAAATGTTTTGATATAAATTATTGCTTAATTAAAGTGTAACAGGTGGATAAAATTCATAATAACATAAAGTTCGTATAACATAAACCTTTGGGTACTATTGAATTTATAAGATACTAGCAATATTCCCAGACTTCGTTCAATTCATTTTCTTTGAATTGCAAACTTTCGAAAAAATATACATACATAACGTTGTTCTCTATGACGCCCAATATTCGCTCTTTAGTTTTGCGTTTTTAAAAACGTCGAAATACACGTTAAGTGAAATTCTCCAGAAAATTATGTATCAAGATTTTAAATTTTGCTAAATTTTCTTCTACTTACATGTTTAACTTCAAAAAAAGCATTCCTGTATGGGTATATGTCATTTTGTCATATCATATTATCGTACGAGGTCAAAATTACGTCACTTTAAACGTTCAGAAATTAATATGAGTACAGTTATACAGCGAAGCAGTTAGATATATAATATTCAATATAACATATTATATTTCATTATAATTTATATTAAATACGTATCCCATGAACCTTTAAATGACATAATAGTATGTCAGAAATGTTTAAATTCATTATTTATAAATGTTTTTTTTTACTTAGGTAATATATATTGAAATAATCTTTTCATCTTCCAAAGATAAAATAAAAACTTTTTAACAAAAAAAAACCGACTTCAAACAAAAGCACTAAAAAGTAAAAAAACTGATTGGCAGTTTTTATTTACTATACATACCTAATCAAATATTTTCGAAGTCGGTGTGCTTTGCTTTGTATCGGCTGGCACCGACTTCGAAATTATTTGATTAGGTATGTATACTAAATGAAAAAAATTACCAATCATTTGTTTTTTACTTTTTAGTGCTTTTGTTTGAAGTCGGTTTTTATTTTTTTGTTAAAAAGTTTTTACTTTTCCCTTTTTAGTGTGGACAGTAGTAGCAAAGTAAGAATTCTAACGTGTTAGGCTTGTCAAATTAAACAAAATAAGCCCAAACTCAAAGTATCTTCTATTAACCATTGAAGAGTTCCACCTATGCACCTTCTGGCCTTACCATCAGATCAGGTTAACAATACCGAACCACTGTACTATCACCGGAAATAGAAACAGTTGCGAAGTTTCAAGTCAATATGACCATTAGAAATAGGTTAAATTCATCATTAGCTGTTTTTCCACCCTTAGGGGTGGTATTTTATTTTGAAATTTAAATGGGACCAATTTGGAAGTATCCCCTTTCAAGCAAAACTAATTAAAGCCTAGCTATTAAATGCATACCTAATCAAATATTTTCGAAATCGGTGCCAGCCCATACAAAGCAAAGCACACCGACTTCGAAAATATTTGATTAGGTATGTATAGTAAATGAAAACTACCAATCAGTTATTTTTTACTTTTTAGTGCATTTGTTTGAAGTCGGTTTTTATTTTTTTGTTAAAAAGTTTTTAAGGAAATCGGTTGAAAATATTCCAGATATAAAATTAAATATCTAGTTCGACTTTTTTACAGTTTTCAATATTGAAACGAAGTTTTATTTTGAGTAGTAATAAATCAGCTAAGCTAAAAAACCAACTGCGTAGAAAGCGAACTAAAAGAATGAGAAACAATTTGATGAAGAAACGTATGTATTAATATGCAGTCAAGCAAAACTCAAACTCTGCATAAATTAGTACTTATGCAATATGAAATTGAAGTATATAGCTTTCAGAAAATGCTAAGGGATAATACGTCATTAGTATTACTATTCTAGGCGAAAAAGTACTATACAGTATTATATACTTTAACTATCATTATTGATTTACATATACATATAATACTTACATGATATCCAATTCAATTAAAGAAAAAAGATTAATATAATATATTACTTTATTAAATACGTAGATAATAAATATACATATTATAAAGATTGAGAAGAGCAATTACGCGCGTGCGCACAAAATTATATATATATATATTGTATGTCATGGCCTACAAGCACACCCTATTTATCCTATCCTCGCCTATGCACAAGTAAACTTCCACTTACTATCACTTCTTTCCCGATAAAGCTAATAAACTTAAAAAAAAAGGGTGTTATTAGCCCGGACTAACTAGTGTAACCGGATTCTAATGTAATTTGGAAATCAATTCATATTTTTTTATCTATAAAATAGTATACAATTATAAAGTAAGAAATTAAGTAAAATCAATATTACTTTCTTATAATACTTTGTTAGATTTACGCGAATTATTTAAAATTTAAAACCAATATATTTCTATACAGCTAAGAAAATATAATTATTATCAATATATTTTTTAATTATATCGGCTGTGACATTTCTATAGTTAAAATATGAAAAGAAATTTAAAAAAGATAGCAACATATTTTTTTCGCTAAATTATTTAATTTTAATAATACTCATAAATAATCTCACCTCCACAAAATTCACGTATAGATAAATCACAGCACTAAAACCTGGCCACACACAAACAGAACGCGTTCGAATTTCAAATTCAACGCTTATCCCAGGAGCAGTGACGTCGCAACCTCACTTCAACAGGTCGCATCCCGCACTGGCCGTCCCGGCGCGGCGTCCCGAACGCGCTCGCGCCAAAAATAATACTCCAGGACTTCCCATTGACCGTGGTATTGGAAAATGGCTTTCCCTGGTGCTCCATTATCGCCTCCACTGAATCGACTCTGATTTGACACATGTACAACAAACACTTTAGGTTCGACTTTTTTTTCTAGAAACCTCTACCATTGTTTTACTATGAGGCAATTATATATTTTAAGATATGTATATTAATTTTTCAATTTATATATTAATTTTATATATATATATATATATATATATATATATATATATATATATATATATATATATAAAGATAATTCTATTAATGTTGACTTGGAACATCTTAAACACCTGTAGTTAGTGATCTCATATTGTGAAATGATTGTATTCACGTTTTTAATTAAAGATTTTTGTATAACATTAATTAAAGATAATTAATTAAGTGAAATTAAATATTGATAAAATACTTTATATTTGAAGTACCCATATCCATATTCATTTTATGCCCAATTGATTCCATGTTAGTCTCGCTTCGATATTTCATTAATGGAAACTTTTTAAGAAAAGTCGTAAGTCGACGTGCGTTAAATCTATACATATAATAAAATTGTAACCAAGCCGAATCTATACATTAGATTTTTTTTTTGGAAATTTTACTGAAATAAACATTATTATAGATACAGAGGCCGAATCCATAGTTTTTAGATTTTTTGTCTGTCTGTCTGTTACCGCATCACAGAAAAACCACTGGAGGGATTTAGATGAAATTTGGTATTATGATAGCTGTTTATCCGGGTCAACATATAGAACTTTTTACTGTGGGAAAATATCTCATTTCTGAGAAAAAAATACAAAAACTGTAATGTAAGAGTGTACTAATATGTAAAATCTAAGAATTTGGTTTTTGGTCATCTGAACGCAGTCGGAGCCGCGGGCAATGATAGTTTAAAATATTTTGCAATAATACTTACAAGTTATAACCAATTAGTTAAACAACTACTTAAATAAAAATAATAACTGAAGCTAGTTACAATTTTTTAAATAATATTAACACATGTACATATTATATCAGCAACACATCTATTAATAATTGTGTTTATTATTTCTATTTAATGCCAATTTATATTCCATAATAAAAAAAATTACAACTTTTATTTCATAGGGCACTCCAAATAGGAGGCGCGAACATTAAAAGAAAATATCGAATCATACGCAACAGCTATATAAGAGGAAGACTAAGAAATTAATAAAGTTACTATCAAAACTAGTGCTCAATCACTCTGTGCACTTTAACATGATTTTTACGAGGTAAAAACATGTATTAAACAAACAAATATCTACGTATGTAAAAACTACTCTTCATTTGATAAACAAAAAATCGACAGCTAAGTAAAATATCAAAAACAAATGCACATCGATCAACACTGAGCTTTAAGAAAATATTGCATCATTGACACCTCTACTGATTTAACCTTCCAGATTTTTCCTTTGGACTTTTTCTTGTCTATCTAAGGAAGGTCGCGTTCCTATTCGAATAGATCACAGACAATTGATGCCTTAAAAATTAATAGATGAATGCCTTCAATAATATCTAGTATCGTATTATATGATCTGTGATAATATCAAGACGTAGCTCCTAGTAACCCTTCACGTTTGAGCTTATTTTTGTAAAGTTTAATACGATTTATTTGAGATTGAGAGTCAAATTTTTGTGACTCATCAGAGAAGCATTTTTTTAATTATTCAGGTAAACATAATTAAATAGGTTTGGTTTTAGCGGTTATTATAATTGATTCAAATATTTTCAACTTAAACACCTACTGTTACCTACTATTTCACCGACACTAAAAAATAAAAATAATTCAAAAAGCTATACACGTCATGAATAGTAGTTAATTTAAAAGTAAAAATGAATAATAAAATCAATAAATTGTGTTTCTACATATGTGTGTACGTTATGTATATGTTATATACAAATGATAGGCAAGGGAAAAACCGATAACGCTCGTAAAAATCCATTTACTAGATTTCCGCGATATGGGAGCCACAATTTTATTATAGCACACTTATTTATTTGTATACCTTTTATAATATTAAGTCACTGTAGTACATTTTATTTATAATATTAAATTATTGATATCCGGAATATTATTTGCTAGCAACTCACCCTCGCTTCGCCCGCGTGTATCTCTAATTGTATACACAGACAATACTAATATCTAAAAATATTACTCCAGGTCATACTACCTGTGCTCTAAATCTCATCCATATTCGTCCAGTCATTTCAGCATATGTGAGTAACAAACATACATAAATACAAACTTTCGCATTTACATTAGTAATATGATTATTTTGAATGCGAACTAATAAAAAATAAACAGTTAAATGCTAAGTAATTGATATCATGAAAGGAAAGGAAAGTATATTCAAATGTAATTTTGGACGGGTTTTCTTCTAGGTACATAGTCGGTACGGTAAGCTTAAAGAATTATAGATTTGACTGTATTCATAGGCGCATTATAACATATTAGCTTTGACGTACCTTATTCTTTGGGGGTTTTAGAACCTTATTAAGTTACATTAAACTAAGTATTAATGCTCTTTAATACACTGAAATAAATACGAGTTTTAGAATTTTACATAACTAAAGGGGATGAAATTTTGTATATAACTCTGTAATTTATAATTTGAAATGAACAGAATATAATACTTACATATACTATTACAATTCAGTGCAAGTACTTACAAAAATTTTCTAAGGAAAATCGTTTTGGCTTAAAAATATTACGAATATGGAAAACTGAATGATTTGTTTCTGCCAGAACCTTCTTTTGATCTGATTCACGGACTCATTTTTATGCCTAAAAAAATATTTAAAAAGTATAAATATCAGTCATATATCATCTAATATATGTACCTATTATCTAAACGATATGATAAGATTTATATTCTGATATGAATCTTCAATCTGATATAAAAACTAAATAATATGCTTATAATAAAATACACATTAATTGGTTTACGTAGGTAGGTACCTTTTTGCGCATTTTGAATGGTAAAGGAGTCAAGGTTTATCAAGAGCTGGTACGTAGATTTTTAGCCTCGTGTACGCAAGATTCTTCTAAGAAATATTTAAAAGAAAATAAAGAAGTTTCAAACCTAATACTGGTAAAATTCTTATTTAATTTAATTACAAATTACTAAATTTGTTTTTAGCACGTTAAACAACTTTCTCGTTAGCTATTTTAATATAAATCAAAGTATTGGGATTAAACTTAATAATGAGGATTGAAAACACGCTTTTCTAAGATTTAAGCTCTTAAAATTTCATTTATTTTTTAAATACGATATAAACGTAGTATAATATAATAAATAGTTCTTAAAATGGATTCATTTTTATTATGATGAAAATGAATTATTAAGAGTTTAATACTACTTTTGTTTTCATTCTAAATTTAGTGGACTGAAAATGTTGAAAGCTACATAATATACTAGCGGGCAAGTATTGTAATGGGTCAGATGAATTGCATATGTAATACATAGATGAATAGCACAGAGTAATAACATAAGCATTGAAATTTGAAATTTCCATAATTATTTTCTTTGTACCTATAGATACTCTCCAGAAAATGAAAATAAAACAGAGTAAAACTAAGAGTGAGATTTTGAACTCTCTGTACTATACCTATAGTTATTTAGAAACAAGTATAAAATAGATAAATCAAATTTAAAGAAATATAATATGCTCAAATCACCAATATTTATAACATAAATCTTTTAAATTAGCCAATACTGATCCTCCAGCAATCAGCAAAAAACCTTTTCTAAATACATATACATACATATGTACACATGTATATATGTATGTATATGTATAAACAATCACTTTATTCCTCAAATGGAATACGGCATGCTCTTTCCTTCTTCTTTTGAAATCACCGTCAAAACATGCCAAAATCGTAGCGTTACTTATGACTTTACACAGTCAAATAAGCTTACTCACGATCGCTACTACGGTTTAACACCTTTTGATTGATTGCCCTTTGGCACGTAACGCTCAATATCGCGATGGTACACAGTATGAAATTAATAATATCACAAATTACTAGAATACTACCAAATATTAATTGCTCTTTCTTTTTAAGAAAAGGTATTTTTTGACGACGCTTAATTTCAGTTCCTTTCGATACTATGCAAGAGATTACAATTTCGATAGCCGCACGGTAAATATTTATATAAGCTACTAGGTACTATAACTATATACATATAGCAAATTTAACAGTATTCTGCCTTTATAAAAAAAATTGTAACTCGACAATTCTTTTAAATTTTCTTTATTGGCACTTAATGAAATATTATATTGTTGTATAAATCTATCTGTTTTATAAATATAGAATTTCTTTAAAAAATGAACACAACACCGCCAATTGGATCCTGGCACTTACCAAAAAGAACCGACATACATACAGACGGAAATACGTACATTAATACATACATACATACACATAAATTGCTGGTTGTATTTATTATATCCAGACTAATACATACAACTCATATAATCTCATTAAACCCACGCACTGTTCAAGCGCGTTCCTAAATATTATATTGCAACTGACTAATAACACGAGTCTTAAGTATTATTTATGATGTACTGTTGATATTATAATTCTACTCGTATGTCTAGGCGAAATTACATCGATCGATTAGTCTGACTCTCGGGAACTCACATAGCAAAAATTACACCTTTAAGCATATTATTATTTATTAATACTTTCTCTGTGTGCTGTGGATAGTGTGTGCGGCAGTAGACTTGGTGGTCTCCCTGGTAGGTCAAGTATACCTATTAGTTGTTGGGGTTTGCTGTCTAAAAATTCTCAGTAATTGTTTGAGAGTGAAAGGAATAGAGAATTGTGTATAAGTATACAATACACATATTGTACAATAATATCTCCCGGGCAGATGGCTAGTCTCAATCAAGTAATGGCCAACGTTGCCAAAAAAAGAAAAGATGATGTTAGATACGGTATACATACTCGTATGTACGACAAATGTGGTCGTTAAGGTAGAGAATAATAAAATACTGGTTGTTGGTTCGATTCCAACTACAGACTATTTTTTTATTATTGCTAATATTAT